ACACACAACAACAACAACAACAACTAAAAAATCAACTGCATTCTCCTATTGGGCACTAATGGTACACAGACCTTTTGTGTATATGAGTGTGTATTGTTGATGTGCCAAACACAATGACACCACTGTCTCAGCACTGCTTTAAGCCTCCTCATACTGAGGCACCAATTAAACCAGACTCAGTGTATGTGTGCGAGTCCTTTTGCACGTGTATGTGTTCAGTGTTTTACTCCCAAGCAGCAATTAACCCCACGAAACAAGTTCACGTTCTCATCGCTTTCTCCTCTCACACTCACAAGATCTGCTCATATATTCATAAATGTTTTCTTGTGTCTTTGTGAAGACCAAGTACATTTTGATTAGATTTGGTTAGAGGCTGTGGTTACAGTTAGAGATATGGTTGAGCTTACATCTAGACTTTAGTTTAGAAGTTAGGATCTAAAAATAGGGGTGATGGTGACTTTCAAATGTGGCTTGTTGGTTACAGTTGGGATAATTGTTCATTCATTTTGGGGTTTGTAGTGAGGGAGTTTCACACTCAAACAATAAGAAATTCATAAGCATGGTATCAAGAGTATCAAACCACACTGCTTTTTAATTTCATCTCCTATCCCAACACAATCAGTTCCCAGGAGAACACTGTGGGTTGTAAACTTGCTGTCCTATTTGAACACAAAGGAGGGCTTTGTCAGGAGCATCTAAAAGCCCCCAATTAATGAACACTTGCCTCCCTGTTTCAGTGATGGGCAGGATTCATGCAAACCAGGAGCACAAATGAGGTCTCACCCTCAATTACTGGAACTATTTGAAAAATTCTGCAGAAACTAAATCAAAGCATATGGAGGCCAAAGAAAAATCACGTTTGAAACAGAAAAATAAAATAGAAATCATTGATATAAAGTTGCACGGACTAATAGAGGGTCTTTTCTTCTACTAACCCTTCATGAGCTCGTGGGCTCTGACAATGTCAAACTTGCGAGCTCTGAGGAAGCGCAGCATCAGAGAGTCTGGTTTGTCCCCGAAGCGCTCCAGCACCAATTTGGCCAGGTCGTCTCCCTCCGCTGCTCTCTCCTTCATCATGGCCCGCAGGTCCTTCAGAGATGACGCCCGCCTCTCATCCGTCTCATTCAGCTCATCCTTCGCCTGGAAGAAACAGAAAACCCACATGCCCTTTTTCAAATGAACAAACAACAATTTTCTGATTTGAACTCATCTGTATACGTTGCCATCCAGTTAATACTTTTTACCTTCTGCACAGTGTGGGCAGGCAGTTTCTGGCACGGCCCAAACACAGGCCCATGATCCTTCACTGTCAAATGCTCCAGCTTAGACCTCATGGCCTGCTCCTCCTCTGACACCATACGGTAAGATCCAGTCTGCATAAAGATGAATGTGTTTTTAAAAACCAAAAGATCAAATCGGCTTATGCAGGTTATTATCAATCATCAGATTTCACTCTAGTTTCTTGGGTATGCCACACACTAACGAACCAATTAGGTTAACATTTGTCTTTATTGTCAGAGTTTTTCGCCACAGTAGCTGCAGTTTCTGAAATAAAATAAGAGTGCTACTATTATACATGCTTTACTGCTTGAATACTTCAATGTCAGCTCATTATAATGACTTTAAGTTGAGAACCCACGACCCATCTGAGCTGGAGCAAACCCCTAAACGATGCACACCAGTGAACGCCTGCTTAATCTGCTTCACATGATTACAGAAAGGACTTCTAAAGCCACCTCTTAAAAACAGCTTAAGGGTCCATCCCAGAGCCAGCATCCACTGGCACAATAACAGCATTAAACAGCATTAAGCAGCATCATGCGCTGACAGTCCAACCCTCCAAGAGCTACAACCAGTGAAGTGAGGCCAGACACTGATGAACTGGCTGAAACGGAGACAAGATGACACTCAAGTGCTTTTTGTTGAATTGTTGGAAAGTAGTTACACTTACAGCAGCCATGGTTGCAGCGTCTCACAGCAGCTTCACTAACACTGTGAAGAAAGAAGAATTGGCACAAACAGAACATGAGCACATTAAACCGTAGTGTGAGATGATAAAGTGTGAACCCGTTCTGTCGGAGTCATCCAGACATTTTGTTGGCCCGTGTCAGTTTGTTAAGAAGAGGCCATGGGATCAGAAATATTACAAAATCTACGTAACTGATCTTTATAAACAGGAGGTTCAGTTATGTCCAAATGTTGAAGATGAAGAGAGGTTTCTTTACTCATCAGTGGAGCAGACATCCTCTTACATAAGAGCCTGATACAGCACAGTAATACGACCACTACCCTTCCACAGAATTTATTTTAAAAAAAAAAAACTACATAATTACTTAATGTAGTTTAATCCTCAAATGTTACCATTACATTTGAATCAGAGCTAAGCATCAGATTATTTTGCCTGGTGATATTTGAAAGCTCAGAAGATTGTTTAACAACAATTATTTCTGTTCTGAAGGTATTTCCTAGAATTTCACAATCCAAGTGATGAAAAATTACACACGTCCTTACTCTCTCTGTAAAACACAAAATAATATTTAGAAAATATTCAGAAACACTGATATATATACCAATGTATAATAAAAACTGTGCAAATTGATCATGGATAAATGTACATTTTGCCAACTGTCTTTATTAGGTTATTAGAGGTTCTGAATATTTTTTATTGACTTTTTTACTTGACTTAAACAACCATCCTGGTTTTTCAAAGATCACTGGGTATTTATTTTCTGTGAATTCAGAAGGTTACCCCTATGACTTGATTGTAATGAGAGGCACAGACTGGGGATATACCCAAACTAACTACTATCTAAAAACAGACCTATATTTACTGGACATTGTACATTGAAAGTACACAGTATTGCTTACATAGTTAACCAAATAATATCAATTTAGTATGGTATAAAG